GGCGGCCCCGCCGCGTCCTCCGCACCCGGGTCTGCAGCGCGCGGCTCCCCGGGTAACTGGCAACAGCACTGCTGGAGGCTGCTCATCAGCAACTTCCTTAGTCTCAACGTGGGTCCCAGCTTCCAGTCCCATCATTCCTTCAATCCCTCAGAAGCTCCAGTCTTCACTTATTCCCAACCAATAGGCTACATCCTCCCGCCTGCAATTTCCGCTCCAGTGTCCCCGCCCCACTGACCGTCCCTCCCCCTGCGTCTCCCGCCGCCTTGCACACAGCTCAGCCGTCAGGCCGCCCTGGACCCGCCCTGGACCCGCTCTGCGCAGGCTCCACACACGCTTGCTGCAGCCTAGACCGGAGCTGCAGCCAGGAGGACGCTGCACCCCGGTGTCTGACTCCACAGTGAGTCTGAGACCTTCACATAAAAGACAGGCAGCCCAACCTCTGTTTGACAACCGGCCTCCTGGGCTACTTCTTACATCAAACCATAACGGGTTAAATTCAGTTACCAGCGTCCCATCCCCACACAAACATGAAAAGTCAAAACCAAATACTGCAGTTGTGCCTTAGGGAGAGACATTTCAGGAACTTGGATTCAGAAAAGAAACGGATGTCTCCAGAAGCCAGTTATCAGCCCATTGCTTACAGCTGAGGGCTAAGCTCATTCCTCTGTAACCACTAGATGGTGGTGTTGTCATTTTACTAACTGAAAACAAGTTAGTCTGTGATTCATTCAAAAGGTCCCTTCAGATAAAAATAAGAAAAAAGAAAATTTGTATGCAGTAGTAAATGCAGAGACTCTTGGCTGCGCTCTGGGAGCAATGTGGGAGAGGAAAACCAAACGGACTAGAAAGGGAAGGGGACAAAAGCTAAGACATGCCAATCTCTCGAATCCATATAGCGTGGTGGCGCACACCTTTTATCCCACCACTGGGGGGCAGAGGCAGGCGGATCTCTGTGAGTTCAAGGTAGCCTGGTCTATAAGAGCTAGTTCCAGGACAACCTCCAAAGCCATGGAGAAATCCTGTCTCGGGGAAAATATACAAACAAACAAAAACAAAACAAAACAAAAAGGAAAATTTTCCTTCCTGTTGCTTCAACGTTAAGTTCTGGGACTCTAGAAGTTTTAGTTCCAGACAGCAGAGCATACCTCACAAGAGCTGAAATAAACATTTTATTGAAGTGGAAGCTAAGACCCCCCGTGGGTACTTTAGGCTTCTAATGCCATTAATCCTAAAGACTAAGAAAGGAACAACCATGGAATATACCTTTACTCTTTGTGAATATTTGTTAATATCATTGGATTAATAATGAAGCTGAATGTTCGAGAAAGGGGACCCAAAGATGGACACACATGGAGGGCCTCAGGAGGGAAAATAGTTAATTTCTCCAGGGTAAACTCTGAGGGGTATAGAAGGGAGGGGAATGGGGATGGGAATTTGATGGGTCTAGAAGGCTGGGTTGGGTGATGGATGCAGAGGATGATCAATGAAAGGGATATCTTGATTGAGGGAGTTATTATGGGGTTATGAAGAAACCTGGTGATAGAGAAATTCTCAGGAATCCACAAGATTGACCCCAGCCAAGACTCCTAGCAACAGTGAAGTGGATATCTGAACTGGCCTTCCCCTTAATCAAATGTGTGACTAACATAATTGTCATGATAGAACTTTCATACAATAAGTGATGTAGCAGATGTGGAAATCCACAGCCAACTACTGGACTGAGCTCCTGGATTTAAGTTGAAGAGAGGGAGGAGAGATCATCTGAAAAGTCCGATCAAGAGCATGATGGGGATAAAACCACAGAGACAGCTGACCCAAGGTAATGGGAGCTCAAGGACTATTGATTGAGCACTGGAGAACCTGCATGGGAATGAATTGGGCCGTCTGGAGGTGGATGATAGATTGTGGATTGATCTGTTGGGGGGCGTGGGCTGGCAGTGAGATCAGGACTTTGTGTTTATATGGGAGCAGGTGATGAGACACAATACAACTGCCTATACTACAAAAACCTCCTAAAAATTTTAAGAACGGTCATTGAGCCACATTACCACCGGGAAACTGGATTGCCTCTACCTAATTCAGTAAAAAGGATCATGTCTGCAGTGAATGAGATCCTTTAAATTATCTCTTTGTGCTACCATATCCTGTGATAAACATGAATGGGAAAATACACCAGCCTAATCCAGAAAGGATGATTGTTGGGGCCCACAGAGATGGCTCCATTTTATCTGGACTTAAGGTCAGAGAGTTCAAAAGTGTCCTCAGTCCTTAAAGGATAAAGTCATAAGACCCAAAGTTCTAAGGAATGGCAATGTAGCATGTTTGATCTTGGTCCTGGATGTCTTAACTAAAGAACAGACTTGGTCTGAGGTTAATCTTGACTCCCAAGTCCAGATACCGAAAAATTCAGTCTAAGGTGTGGTTACCAAATATTTGGAGAATCAAGGCAGAAAGTTTGGTTGTTCCTTTTACATGACAAAGAAGTCTTTTGCCGTATTCTGATTTTAAGTTGGGGTATTTAAGAATGTTGAAGAATAAACTTGGGGCATCCAGTATTCACTGGATTGCAATTGTGACCCTATCTTGAGTCTGTCTTTTTCTTGTCTTAGTTTACATGCTGTTTCTCAATCCACACTCCCCTCATAGGTAAGAAACCGGGTAGAAGGCTGAACCCAACTAAAACTCCACAAAGGCAGGTTACAGTAGAAGATAAAGGCAAGACACATCAGGATGGAGCCAAGATCTGGAGGAAATACAGAATAGGGAGTAGCAAACAGTAGTTATAAATTCTTCTTATGGCCATGTGGCCAGTAAAAGAAGGTAGGATTACAGTTGATATTAGTATTCCTATTGTATTTTGCTAAAATTGTATTTGTTCAGATATTTGTTTTTGGAGGAGTGTTTTTCGAGACCAGGTTTCTCTTTGTTTTTTGATGCTGTCCTGGAACTCACAGAGATCCACAAACATCTCTTTCCCAAGTGCTGGGATTTAAGGTTCCAATGTCTTTATCAAGTGGTGTAACAAACTAAGAGAAAGTGAATGTTTACCATACTTAAATTCAAGATGCTAAACTCCTGTTGCACAAGAAACAATGACAACTATTCTAAATTTAAAATGAGATTGCACATGTGAGAGAAGGATTTATATCATAATAGGTGTAATTATGACATGGTTAATGATGTGACACATTTGGGATTCTGTTTGGTATAGTTATCAAATGTTTAGGTGCTATTATGACGTGTTTCTTGTTTACATTTGGAGATTAATCATGGCATAGGAATGATTGTGTGTCAAAGTAACAAGGGGTGGACTAGTGATGGTTACTTTGGTTGTCCAATTTACTACATCTGGAATTTACTACAATCCACAAATGGAGGGCACACCTGTAATAGATTATTTTTCTTTGATTTCAAGTGATTTGAAATGTGTGAATCCACTCCCAGTCCAGACCTTAGGGGTAGGAGGACAAATGCCCTTAACCCATATCTTAAGGTGGGAAGACACACGTCTTTGAAAATGACTATGAGGCTGTAAGATACAATTTTTACCTGGGCCACACCTTCTATTAGAAGCCCATAAAAAGACATGGAAGAAGGAAGATTTTTCTCCTTGTCTGCTTGCCCTAGATTTTATAGCACACACATCCCTTCAGTGGCATCCAGGCCTGCTCTTTGTGATTCCATCATACAGTAAAGACCAGCTGAGATATCCAGCCTTATGATGAGCAATTACTAGAGTGTAGGACATTCTGTTCATAGCTAGCCATCATTGTATTGGCTGTGCAAGAGGCTGTTTGGAGCTCTGTTTTGGAGCCTACTGGGCTGAGCAGAGGACTACAGCTAAAGGCAGTGATTTTCCTCCTACATTCCATCCATAGACATCATTTGAGAGGTAAAGGGTGGGCCCTGTGAGCCTTTTTCCTTTCCTAGACTGACTTTGGTCTAGTGTGAGGTCAATGAAGGTCAGTACAGCTTCTGTTGGTTACTGATTACAAGGAGCTGTATGGAGTCCAGAAAAAGGCATGTCTTAGCCCTTCCTCCTCTTTCCCTTATTACTCCCTTTCCTCCTCTTTCTCAATGTTCTCAGAGCTATAAAAGGGAAGGAGTAACTGATGTTTTCAGGGCTGGGGCCATGTAATTTACTTATTTTCTGCACCTGGCACAGCAAGTTCCAGGTCTACTGCCAGGTCTGCAGTCACTACTGCATTAAAAAGCGTTTTTCCTATATTTTATCTGAAAGCATCTTTAACAGGAGTCAAAACAGCTAATTTGTTTCTGAGCTAGTAAAATGAAGGACTTGTGTCTAGTGGTGAGAGCAGTATAGTGCAAGATGAACTCAACACTGAGCATTTATCAATGGGTGTACTATTGCCTTCCTAAAACCAATTTGTTTTTGAAGGGACAAGTCCCTCACTCAGCCCCTGGCTTTAGCAGCCATGGCAGGCTACAGAAAGACACAGTCTTCTGACACAAAGAAACTCTGGATCATGTATCCTTCCTGAGTCTAGGTTCAAACCGGAACAAAACAAACTCCATACCTCCCCCCAAACCTCCTAGATACTTGGTTCCTGGGAACTGTCTGGCCACAAAAGAAATTCCAGGAGAGATTAGAATCTCCCCTGTGGTCTCCAGGATACAGTTCTGAAAACTATTGGTATCTATGTACAAGAGGAACAAGATGAAGCCGGGCATTGGTGGCACACGCCTTTAATCCCAGCACTCGGGAGGCAGAGGCAGGCGTATCTCTGTGAGGTCGAGGACAGCCTGGTCTCCAGAGCGAGTGCCAGGATAGGCTCCAAAGCTACACAGAAAAACCCTGTCTTGAAAAACCAAATAAAAAAAAGAGGAACAAAATGATTTCACAGAAACTACAGAATGTTCCCCATCAGCACAAACCAATGAGAATAATTAGCACACAAGTATTTATGCTAAAATGTGACTTTGAGAAATTCTTCTGTTGACAAATGTCAACCAATCAGAAACCAATGAATACCTACTGATGTAATCCTGTAACTTTTGTCTTTAAACCTAGCAGTAAACAGGGAACTTCAGTCCCTCTGGAGGCTGCTGCATCCAGCTTGCTAGAGAGGGTTATCCCTGTCATGGTTGGAAGAAAAATAAAAACTTGTTTTTTGTTTTTTGTTTTTTTTGAGACAGGGTTTCTCTGTAGCTTTGGAGGCTGTCCTGAAACTAGCTCTTGTAGACCAGGCTGGCCTCAAAACACACGAGATCAACCTGCCTCTGCCTCCTGAGTGCTGGGATTAAAGGCGTGCGCCACCACCGCCCGGCTAAAAACTTGTTTTTATAGTTCACTGGAATTGTCTCCTTGGTGGTCTCTGGGGATTTTCACAGCTTGGTCACATTTTCAAACTCCAAATTCCTAAATAGTGTCTAACCAAGGCCAAATTGCAGTATTTCCTTTTGCCTTGTCTTGTTTATGTTACCGATCATAAGCTGCCATCTGAATTTAGCCTGTTATTCTTTGCAGTAAGTATGTAGCCCTGGAGACTGGTAGTCAAGCAGGGAATGCTGCCTGACTTTGATCTGAAGGTTCAGAACACACAATGGGGTCACATATCGGGGTGCAGCATCCTTCTGGATGCAGAGCTGGTCTAGGTGGGCAGCAAGCATGTGGGGAGTCTGTACAGAGCTGGTCCAGCGCAGCCTGAGATCAGGAGCTGTGTGGAAGGCAGCAGGAGATGGAGTGGGAAAAACTGATCCCCAATGTGGAGGGGACAAAGGTATAACCACAGGAAAAGGATCAGAGGGGTGGAATTGGGAAACTAATCTAGAAAACCAAGCTCCCCACCCCTCATCCCCACAGGCGAATTTGACCAACCTTCTGACCAAAAGTAGATTTTTGAGTGGGAGGGTCCAGGAGGAGGAGTCTCCAAAGATTTAGGCTGAAGTGACCGAAAATTCCTCCATTCTTTTGGGAACAGGTGAGTCAGGTGGTCTGGAGCTGGGTGACGAAGACCCAGCCAGGTATTCCGGGACCTGCATGGGGTGGAACTGCCTGCTGCAGACCTGGGTGTGGAGAACACGACTGTGCAGCAGGGACCCGAGAACTCAGGAGCGCCAGTGATCGCGCAGTGCGGCCCTGGAAAGTCAGCAGTCAGCAGCGCAGTGGTGGGAACCGCAGCCCGGCGGCCCTGGAAGCTCCCAGGGGAGAGGAGCTGCGGGGCTGGGACCTGGGAGGGAGGGAGCGGGAAGCCGGCTCCGAGATTTGCTGTGGATGTTTTTCCTTGGCGTTTTTTAGATCATATGGAATAAGCGTAGTATTTTCAGTTGATCTTCGGATTGTCAAAATGTCCTTCTAAAAATATTCTAGTAGAATATTTGAATTTATCTGAAGATGTGCAAGCATGATTCTCTTTGCTATGGTGAAAAGACAGAGCTCTTGAAATTTACAATCATCCATACTAATTTCCGTGTTGTAAACTTTCATATTGAAGAGACTGTTAGATTATAGCTGAGGAACGGCTTTAAGTTACTTTAAATCTGAAATTAATTATTTTTCCAGTCTCACAGTGTACTGGTAAACATAAACTTTTAATAGCATACTTTTATTCCCCTAGTAATTTTTAGCCTTAGACATATGAACACTGTGGTGTAAATGCAGCATTCTCAAAGGTGTTTTTGCATGTTTTTTTTTTTTTTGTGGTTGTTTTTAGCTTTTTTTGTGTTTTTTTGTTTGTTTGTTTGTTTTTTGTTTTTTCGAGACAGGGTTTCTCTGTGGCTTTGGAGCCTGTCCTGAAACTAGCTCTTGTAGACCAGGCTGGTCCTGAACTC